GATGACCCGCGCCTATCCCGTTAAACATCCTAAACACAAGATTGTCCACCAAATACAATGGTGGAACAAAATTGTTAAAAAGGGTTAAAACATGAGAAAAACATTTGAGTACATTAGGGGTAGACAAAACTCTTAGTTACTTGATCAACTTGCAAAACACACTTGCCTACTTTTCAAACCACACTCCACAAACACTTTCAAAACAAACTCTCAAAAACATTTGAAACATCTTTTCGAAAAGATACACACCTTCGTATATACTCAAACACGAGTCATTACAATGGTTACCGAAACAAAGGCGTCTATTTCAAAACATTTTCAAAACACACACACACACCATTTCAAGCAATCAAAAATCAAGGCAAGTGATCTAAAACCAAGTAACTAAGAGCCCATGGATAACCATGGATGAAAAGGGTGCTAATACCTTCCCTTTTCATAATCTACCCCCCGAACCCACGAAACATCTCAAAAGGTTTTTCCTGTGCTTTTTAACCTTTCCTTTAGGATAAAATAAAAGTCGGTGGCGACTCTTGCTAAACCGAACAAGTGCAAATACAAAATGCAAACCTCAAGTCAGTTCTCCCACCGTATCACAGTCTTCAACTTAGACATATTCCAAAAAACTCTTAACATATCTCGTGCTCAAACTTCTTATAACTCGAGAGATGCATTCCTTCGCCAAATCTCAGGTTCCAAAGCACCAGGACAACAATTCTTTTTGCAACACTACTCACTTCTTCAAGTTTCGACTCAGACTCGTGATTCACAACTACTTATCAACGTCAACTACTTCTGACAATCACTTATGTGATCCCAACACAAAATTTACAACAACTTTATTACTCCATCATTGTTCAAACATCGACATCTTACACTTGCTTCGTAAATCAACAAATATTACACCGCTCTTCATTCTTCGAGAAGTAGGCACCAACAATGTCTGATCAATTTCTCTCAAGACGCTCTAACTTGACTAACAACAAGACCTTGAACCCAAGTCACCTTCAAATTCGGGAACAACAAGACTCCAACAATTCTTGCATTGTCATCATCGGCAACACACCCAACCAACACATTTCAATTGAACATATCCGAGAAGCAAAGCTTCTCCCCCACTTATCTTCAACCAACTTCATGTAATTAAGGCAAACAAGTATCGACAGTGTTTCACACACTTGTCGCGCACTAAGGAACAAACAACATTAGACAACTTGGTCGAATAGACCGACCTGATCTGATACCGCTAATGTAACACCCCATTTCTACCTGGCGGATAATAAGAAAATTAGAGTTTAACATAAATAGGATGCTACATTTTCAACTAAAAATCAATCTTCATTTAATCGCATACAAACAGATACATAATACTTAACTCGGATGAACTGATAACAATCTGATTTATTCTTCAAAATTAAACAACTTTTTATTGATAAGCAACGGAACATACATACTCAACTTCAATTCACTTAACATCTTTTATTCAACTAAAACAACCTCAAGATAACAATTATTTCATGTAATCAACTTAAAAATTCAGCAACTAAAATAATAATCAACAACTAAACATCAAGCGTTCATCCCCCCGAATTCTACGTATCAGAGCGACAACACCGACTCGAACTAACGAGGTAATAACTATCTTTCTTGATTACTTGCACGTTATCAACAGAGGGCAACATTCAAACAGAAGGGGTGTGATATCAAACTATATAATTAGTCATATGATAAATAATATATTAAATCAGATCATATAAAATCACCACTTCACAACTTACAAACAACTTTAATCACAATAAAACATTAACACGACATAACTGCTAAATTCACAGCTTTTAGGTAATACTTGTCACAACAAGTCAACAACATAAGGAAACAACGAATCTATCTTCACCACAACTCAAGATGCAATATCAAATGCGACTCAATCACAATGCACATGCATGTGGTACCATCTAAGTAAAACTCCCAACTTAAAAATTGCCAATTAATAGAGGCATCAACAAGGTATAAACCTTCTTCGCAGTTTGCCAATACATGCCTTCACAAAATCCGCCAACACAGGCCATCACAAAGTATGCAAATGTATGTGACTCAATGAATGCACCATTACATACTAACAACAATCATCATTCATCGCAAGGCATAAGCCCACATCACCATTATTACCAGTAAATAGAGATAATTCATCATCATCTAAAATCTCTGCAACTTCACATTATCAACAAGAATTCACAGAGATGATCACAACATCACAACATCTCAACATTTGTCATAGGCCTACAACATAATATTGCCCATAAAATAGAGGCGATTCAACCAAATTCATCATCACCTGCAATTTCATATTTTTCAGCAAGGTATACAACACAATTCCATAAACCAAAACCATTCAACTTAATTCTACTTCACCTGCAAATCAACTTTATTCTACATAATTCTAACAAAACAAACTAACTAAAAATACCCATATGTATATATGACTCACTCCGATAATTTCAACTAATTCCGATTAACTACTTTTACCGCCTAAATTTACAAATTCGGATAATCGGTATTATTTTATATACTGTTATTACTACTATTTATTTATACTATTACTAATCAATTTATTCTACTAAATTACACTACCTCTGTTACTTAGCTTACTTCTATTATTGGTCTCCGCCAAAACTACTTGTTTGTTATCTATAACTTCTATTACTACAACTTTCTGCTAGTGCCAAATATTAGTTATAAACCAAAATCAATTTCAACTTATTCCTCCTGTTACTGAAATTCTCTGTTATACTTTCTGTATAATAATTTGCAATTTCTACATCTACTGATACTTCCTAACAATGCTCATCTAAATTAGTCCATGCACTATTATTTTTGTTACTCTTACATATATACCCTGCTATTCATTTGACTAAAGCATTACAATTTATTCCTGCAACTTCTTTAATCCAATCTGATAGTAAATTATTTTACTAATTATATTAAATTATTAATAATATAAGATATGACATAGTCTTTCCACCACGCCTATATGTTCTTTCGAGTCTCATCTCAGGACAATAACTCAATAATAGTCATAACAACATCATAACAGAAATAAGATTTAAATAAATTGCAGAACAACTTCATCAACACATTATGAACATTCACTGACAACTAAAATTACAGGACTGATAATCTGTACAGAATCACAATATAACCGAATCGACAACAATTCATGGCACAAATTTATACAACCCAACCCTACATACGGTTTATCATATACCCGATTATAGAGATTGAACCTCACCCTTACCTGGTTTGGATTGAAGGTAGCTCTAAGAGTCTCCGATTGAATCTTCTCTCGGCCGTTTGGTGTAACTTCTATGTATCCCTCTTCTTCTCCTCAAAACCCTTATTTTTCTCTTCTCTGCAACTTCTCTAGTACCAAAACCTTCCAAGATTTTTTTTTCTCTAGATCAGAATCAAAGCTGAAAATTTTCCCAAATATGCAGCTACAGTGCTATAATGATATCTCCAAACTCAGACCTTATTTTGAAGATCCCAACGGTCAAACGTTATATGTAGGTGTTACGAACCTACCCTCAAAATTTGAGCACGATCCAACGGTTAACGAATAGGGGATTTCCGATTTAGTGATACTGCTGCAATAAAAACGGGAATGAGTTTCTCCCATCTATTCTCTCACTTTTTCTCAATTAACATAATTCCTTTTATATCCACTTAACCTTGTAATTCTAGTAATTCTTATTGGGCCAATATCCATATTCTCATATTTACTACATGACATCACTTAAATAATCCCAACAATTAATCTTATAATGCTCCAATATATTTAATATTATTAAACCACTATTTAATCAAATAATGTCACAGAGAAACTTAACAATAATTCATAACATTGCCCAACTCCAACTAATAATTTTAATTAAATAATTAATTAAATTATCAGGGCATTACACCGAGATCTTACCTTACTAGGTTTGGTTGGAACAATGCAACTCATCTGTAGTGACTTGCATCTCGGCTACAATAACCTCATTGTAGCTACTAATGTTACTAGTGGTGATGGTGGTGCCTCGTTTGACCATGGTGGAACTGTGATTAAGGAAATTGAATATTAAATTAAGGTGTGACCTAGGTTAGGTTTACCAAGGCTCTATGGTGGACATCAATTGTACTTGTGATAAATACTATAATGTGGACCTACTCGGGTGTATGGATGAGAGAGGATTCTAGGTGTGTTGAATATGTAAGAAGTGAACGATTCAACACCAACCATAGGGCTTGGGATATGTATGGACACGACCCATGGACCAAGTTGTGGGTGAAGAGTCGGTTTCAACTTTAACAACTTGGTTGAAAAATTGGTATATGCAGACTCGATCCTCCCTCCCTCATAGGAAAAGCAGTTTCGTCCCTAAAGTTATGAAAATAATGGTTTTTTCTCATATGATATGGCATGGGACGTCTTTGTTTACTTTCATTTGGACCCATATAGTTTGGGCCAGACAACCCACGACCTCATCAAAATAGTATAGGTCGGGCGCACTCATGTGCTCGCCATACGAGGTTGTCCTAACTTTTCTTATACTTTCTTATGTTATTCTTGAGTAGAATATTTACATGGTCGATACCTTCAAGGGCCCAATCAAAGTTATCTTAGTCCATTAAACTTCTAATTCTTTCCAATACCATTTATACTATATACTCTTATAGTCTACTCTCAATCTATAAATACACAATTGTATATCTATAAATTCACAATCAATTCAATATGAAATAGTTTCATAGACTACTATCTGCAAAAAAAAAAGAAATATGGATTAGTATAATGTAATGGTACAACCATCAATTAGGATATAGATAAATGGCTAAGAATAACATAAATCAATGGATAATACTTAACCATAACAATTGCTTTCTTAATTACCCAATAAATTTATGATTGTTACATGTTTAAAATATCATTATTCTCCTAACTAAGATTTACCAGAGATTCAATATCTCTTAGCAAAGTACACATAAAGGGAGAAATTTAAAAGGTTGATAACACAAATAAGAGCATAAAAAAGATCCAACCTAGAATGATTCAGATCTATTCCACCAAACCATTCCATGCCAAATCTTCCACTAATTGAGTTACATATAGTCACCAACATAGAACTCACAAACATCCCCATAGAGTTTGAAAACCAAGATAATGAAGTACAAATACTTCTCATACTTTCAGGAGCTTCTGAGTAGAAAAATTCAAGCATTCCTCCCATTGTAAGTGTATCAGATAACCCTAATAAGATATATTGGAACAGTAACCAAAATACAGAAAGTGTATTCCCATTATTGAATGCTTTAAGCCTCTTAGATTCCACGATTGAAGCCAAAAACATTGATATTAATACCAATGCTAATCCTATTCCCATTCTAAAAAGTGGTTGGTAGATTTTGTTGTTTGTTGTTGCGCCTTTCTTTCTGTTCATGAGTTTGAATTGTTCAAATATAATTATGACTATAAGTGATATAATAATTGGAACAAGTGATAAAGATTGTGTAGGTATTGTGAAATTGTATATCCTTCTGTCCATGAGATTCCCTTGTTGTACTGAGAATGTATAGATTTGTGCTAAGGAACAGTGCATCATGATCGTTGTGAAAAAAAATGGCAGAAGTCCTAAGAAGGTTTTTGTTTCCTTAACTTGAGCAACACCAATGTTTTCATCCATCAATGCTTTGTTCATAAAACTGAAGAAAAAAATTACAATAAGTTATAATAGTATGTGATTCTTAATATCTAATTATCCATATTTTACAACATCATTTTTTTAAATATCAGTTTTATAAAAAAATAAACCAAGTAGCACTAAGTGTAGTCACACTATAAATATTTTAATTTTATAATTAAGAAGATGATAAAAAAGTAAAGAGCTTACTTAAATTTATCATCACATTTCTCTCTATGAAGTAATTGTTCTATCACATCATGATTCAAACTTTCAGCTGTAGACACCTTAGCGTTTCTTATTGAAGCAACAAGTACCTGAATGATCCGATTCACAGGACTTCCAGCAGGGAGTTTATATCTATAGAATGAAAATCCAGATACAAAAGTGCACAATGCTAAACTTGAAACAAAGACCATTATCATAAAACTTGTACTCCATCCATATTTTTGTTCAATTGAAACCATAACACAAGTTGAAAAAAGACCTCCTGCGAATATACTAAAAAAATACCAACTGAAGTATGAGGAAATGAGACTCTTGTTGGTTTGATCAAGTTGATCAGCCCCATGTGCAGCCAAGGTTGATCTGACTCCACCAATTCCCATGGCTGTACAATAGAGTCCGATGTAAAGATAAAGAGCTTGAATAGGTGATGGTTTTTCATTTTCTGGTGGTTGCAAATTAGGGTTTTTTGCTTGGTATGTTAGCATGAGTAGTCCCTGAATTTCAAAGAGAATAAAATGTAGAATATATAAGTAATGTATTTGGTGAAATATTAGATAATTAAAATTAAACGTCTCGAAGAGTTTAAGGGACTAATATCGATTTTTTTTAGTTAAGAAACTAAAATAAACCTTGAAATTAACATTCTAAATAAAAAAAATATTTTACCTAATTTTTTTTATTGATTTGAATTTTGAATACCAAATATACGAATCGATATGTTTAAATATATATAAATGAGATTTTCTTACCATCAATTGTAAGCCACCAGAAATTACAAATGTAGTGAATCTTGTTAGGTAAGAGTCACTAATAAATCCCCAAATAATGCTCAGTGCAAAAGCAGTTCCCAGTAAATTGGTAACCATGTTTGAAGAATCAGCAACTGAATAATGCATTGATTTGAAAAAGTAGTCAACTAAAGTTACTCCATTGCATGTGATGATCAAGCTCTGCATTATCTCTACAACTGCACTCATATAAATTGTCATTCCATGTGTTAATATTGATCAAATCATAATCATATTTTTATTTGCCTGTGACTCTTACTAATTTATTGAATTTAATTAAGCGATAGTTTAACCTACGCTTGAATTAATACAAAAGTATGCAACTTTTCTAATCTTTTTAAACAAATTTACAACTTTTCATTAAAAATAAAATAAATATTTTTATAACTATTTTCGAGGTGAGATATGATTAAATAAAAGTTCATTGCATAATGAACTTAAAAAAACGTGTAAATAGATCCATCAATTTGATTAGAATAGTGGATTTTGCAACAAATAAAAAAATATCTAGTATTTTAGTAAGGAAAATATTTAAATACAATTTCATATATGTGATTCATATTTTTCTCTAATAAAAATATAATAAATATATTAAAATATATTTTGAGTAAAAATAAGAAGAAATTATATATATGTAAGAGGAAATTATACACTTATAATATTTTTTTTGGAAAAAAATATAAACTACAAATAAAAAAATGCACTTAAGTTTTTTCTTTTTTAATAAAACTTGACGGATTTATTTTGGGTCATTCCCTTTAAAAAAGTATTAAAATATTTAATTTTATTTTTCCCTTAAAATTGTTTTTAAAAAAATTTATAATTAAATAATATAATAGAGGATAGTTTTAAAATATCCTCTTTAGAACGGTAAAATGGGTTGGTCCGGTCAAAATGTTTAAATAGACTAACTCGATTTAATTATTTAATGGATTACAAAAAATAAGTCCAATCCGTTTTTCAAAGGTCCGTGAAGTTTGATGGATTAGTCTAACTTATATTTTAATATTATAATTTTTATTTTATAAAAAAAAAATATAACGGATAAAAGTTTGATAAGATAAGTAGAGAGTCATCATAATCTCATTTAATTGATGTTTAAAATATTTATCACTTGAAAACACACATATACAATCATATCTTATCTCAATGTTTTTTCTTCATAATTTATCAAAATATTTTTTTAACGGACCAACCCGAAACCGCTTAGTCTGATTCGATCTGATTCATGAAAAATATAGATCCGATATACTGAATCAAAAAGATAGAATAGTGTTTTTTTAAATTATTTTACAGTTCGACCTATAATAAATTAAAAATTTTATGGATTGATCCGATAAGCCGGATCCATTTTAACAGCTCTAATTGTCCTAACATCCTCGTGATTAAGGTAATTATAACATTAAATAAAGAAATTTTAGCTTACCACAGGCAATGGAAGCAGCTTTTATTCCACCATGCTTTTTTCGATCTGCCGTCTTGCCTTTGTAATCAGTATATTCACCATTGCTAAGCTCTGAATCCTATACATATTTGAAATTAAGTCAGAGAAAAGGAGAAAAAAAATCACAAAATAAAAAATAAAAAACTAAACAGAAAATAAGACAAATTAAAAATCCTTTAAAAAATACCAATTTGAACTATAAAGCGAAATTTGAATGGCAAAGAAAAACCAAAACATACCATTGATGAATGAAAGGATTGTTTGTTATGAAAGAACTAATCAAATTATATATATTTGAAGAAACAAAATATTGCTAGAAAATTCATTGTATAAGACACCTAATTCTTTTTTGGATTTCGCATTATTTGGAAAATAAAGCCTTCTTTTAGATTTACTTTTTTTTCTTCTAATTCTATATTAGACACCTACTAAGGATGATAACTGATAAGATTTGAACAAAATATTATAGTAGCCGTTTTTATATCTGTAAATAAAAAAAATCTTTATATTCGAACTCAAATTCGCATAGGTATTAACATTCATATTTATATCCATATTATATGAGTATTTTGATATCATACTCGTATCCATTTATTCACTTTATAGTAAAACTAAATGAATTGATTACAAAATCTCATATAATATAATTTTTTTTTAACAATATTAAAAAAATTATGAATATTTTTATTGAGTTAAAAAATAAATAAATATTTTTCTTAAAATATATAATAGTTTAATATTATAATTTTAAAAATTGATAAACATATATTTTTATATAATAATATAAATTATATTATATAAATATGTAATGCGGATATAAGACAGAGTGAATAGTAAAATATCCGTATTTGCATTCATACTCATTTATTTGATGACTAATTATTTGTGTTCGTACTTGTATCCATTTTGCATCACTGCGCACTATTAGGTAAAATAATCTTGAATTTTAACTAAATATAAATTTTCAAAAATATTTTATTATATATTTTAGCTTATGAATCTGTTTGTTTTAATTTTTTTTAAATAATCTTTATAACATAATATATTTTTGTTAAAAAAATATGCAAAGAAATATTAAAATAAAACTTCACATGAAAAATTGTTTTAAATAATTATTGTTAAACGGTTATTTTAAATAATTAATCCTTTTGGTATAAATTTTTAATTTAAATTTTAAAAAATCAGATAAATTTGAATTTTTTTAAAAATAATTTTTCATAAAAATTATTTTCAAAAGACATTTTTTTGAAAAAGTTGTAATTTTACTATGTTTTGATTTCAATAATGTTCGGTATCTCTCTTAGTTTATTTTTAAATAAATAATTTTATGTCATTGATCAATAAAGAAAAGTAAAATACAAGTCATATATTTTTATTAACAAGGTTATGTTTATGAATTTAAATGGATTCATTGAATTATTTATGCTTTCAGAAGAACTTCCCCTGAAATAAGCAGAAATATCATTATATGTAAAACATTTAATTAATACATTTACTATTAAATATTATTAAAATGGATTCGTTGAATTGTTTATGATTTAAATGGATTCATTGAAATTTTCTATATTTTTACTAAATATTATTAAGAATTATATTATATAATATTTTTACAATTAACACTACAAAAAAGAAGCTCAGTTGCCACGTGAAAATCATGTGGCAAACATCAAAATCACGTGGCAAGGCAAAATTAGCGACGTGGTGAGTTATGTCGCTGGGGAGTAAGTGGCAAGCAAGTAGCGACGTGATTCCCACGTCACAAAGTTGTGACGTGGTATTCACGTCGCTACATATTACATAATGACAGCTTTATTAGCGACGTGAGAATCATGTCACTAATTTGTGACATGATTCCCACGTCGCTACAGGGGACGTTTATATTTTTTAAAAAATTGTTAATAATTAATTTTTATATTAATTCATTAATGTAATAAAATTTAAATAATAAAATTTATATAATAAAATTTAAATAATAAAATTTATATAATAAATTTATATATTAAAATTTATATAATAAATTTTATATAATAAAATTTATATATTAAAATTATTAGAATAATAGTATTTTATTTTATATTTCGAATAATAGAATTTTATAAAATAAATTCACATAATTAAATGTTATATAATTTATTAATTTAAAATGATAAAAATAAATATATCTTACATAAATGCAAATATAAAAACGAAATAAAAAAAATGTTTTCACGGGGCATCTTCACCCGGAAAATTATCAAGATCAAAGTCATCAAGTCCGTCATCATCCGGCTGTGTATGATCAGAAACATTTTGATTTCGACCGCCTTGCATAAACTGTCTCATCTGCTCCTCCATATCAGATTGCCGCTTCCGCATGATCTCTAACTGACGCTCCTGCTCTTGCCTCATTGTCGTCATTTGGGCCTCCATTTCGCGTCTCACTTCACTGGCCGCCAATTGTCGTACTGTTTCAAGTTGAACCTGAGTCAGATTGGGTTGACGTGACCCCCCTTCTCCATCTCTAAGTCTTTGAAACAGATTACGATCACCAACTCTCAAGCCGGCGGCCAAATTTCCTCCCGCAAAAAAGCAACCATTAGGCCCTTTTCCATTAACAACCTCATTCCAAATATAGAAATCAACATCCCCATTAAGCGGCTCCCCCTCTGCTGGCCTGTATTGCGGATTGTGTTCCAGAAAACGTGCTAGCAATGTCTGATAATCATCCTACACATACATTAAATAATACAATTAAAAAAAAATTAAAACATTTATATATTAAATTATACTAAATTCAAATATATTAAAAATTTGTCACGTGATTTTCACAAATCAACTTATGAATTGCCACGTGAGTTTCCCGTGGCAATGTATCAGTTGCCATATGAAAATCAGTCACCTGGCAATTTATCAGTTGCCACATGATAATCACGCCACAACTTATAGATTGCCACGTGGAAATAACGTCACTATTTTTGTTATTAACTTAAAAAAAAAACATAAGTTTAATTACTTACAAAAGCTTTCTGGGTGCGGTCGTCGACAAAACCTCCCGATTTTTTTGTCCGAGTCCTCGTAATCAACTCAATGATCAACGGTGGTCTCCCCATCTCCTTAGTCTAAACAATAAAGTTAAAAATAATTAGTAAAAAATATTATGAATAAAAATATATATAACTTAAAAAATTAGTAATATTTACCATCCGCCGGACATGCTCTGCAGTGCTAATACTTCCAACAGTATTGACACATCCCCCCTTTTCGGATGCCCTCATCTTCTTAAAATTTTCAGATTTGGCCTTGAATTCAGGCGAAATTTGATGAATACCCATCGGGCATTCTCAATTCTTTTAACCATCTACAAACCGCTTTAGCTTCTTGGGAAGTCAGACTGAAACAAGCCTTGGGTTTTAATAATTTTCCATTCGGTTGAGGCTTCAACTCCAACTCTCTTCGATTACACCAAATTCCCATGTCTTGTCTGGCCTTCTCATTATCTTTTGTTTTTCCTGTCACATCCATCACTGTGTTAAATACATTATCAAAAAAATTCTTCTCAATATGCATAACATCAAGATTATGGCGCAACAAATTATCTTTCCAATACGGAAGATCCCAAAATATACTTCTTTTTGTCCAATTGTGGGTGACGCCGTATCCTTCAATTCGGCATGCTTTCCCAGTATCTGTAAATTTTGGTAGTTCACATACTTGGTTCCATATAACCCCTGGTGGCAATCGAGGCGGAGGCAAATCTTTCTCTCGTACATCTTTTTTAAAATTTGTCTTGTTTCTTCTATACGGGTGATTTGCTGGTAGGAATCTGCGGTGACAGTCAAACCATGAGCTTTTCCCACCTTTATCCAACGTAAATGCTTTGGTGTATCCCATGCAATGCGGACAACCCATTTTTCCATGCGTACCCCAACCAGACAACATGCCATATGCTGGAAAGTCATTAACGGTCCACATCAAGGCAGCTCGTAATGTGAAGTTCTGTTTACGGGATATATCATAAGTCCATTCTCCAATCCACATCTTCTTCAAATCATCAATTAAAGGTTGTAAGTACACATCAATTCCGGCTTTTGGACTGTGCGGGCCTGGAATAACACACGTCAAAAACATGTATGGTTTTGTCATGCACATCTCAGGAGGGAGGTTGTAAGGTGTTACAATAACTGGCCAACAAGAGTACGCACTTCCTGACGCTTGCACGTATGGGGCAAATCCATCAGAGCATAATCCAAGCCTGACATTTCTAGGTTCTGCAGCAAAATCTGGATGTGTCCGATCAAAGTGCTTCCATGCCTCACCATCAGATGGATGTCGCATAGTGCCAGAACTTGTTTGGTTTGCATGATGCCATGTCATTTGACTTGCACTGTGCATTGAAGCAAACATTCTTTTTAACCTTGGTATTATAGGAAGATAAAACATGGATTTTACTGCTACACGCTTTTGCTTGCTGTTAACGGCTCTACTGCGAACTTGATATCTTGGACTATTACAAAACTTACACTCCTCTAACGATCCATCTTGAGTACCAAACTCATTGTCATAAAACAACATGCAACCGTTAATGCAACAGTCAATCTTTCTTACTTTTAAACCCAACTTCGACACCCACTTCTTTGCGTCATAATAACTTGTAGGCAAATTGTCTTTCGTAGCGGTGGAGTCCAACATCATTTTTGCAAAATGTTCCAAACATTGATCAGAAACATTCCAATTTGACTTGGCAGCCAATAATCTCACACACATTGATAGCTTCGAGTCTGACGACCCCTCAAACAACGGCGTATTCATCTCGTTCAATAATTGATAAAATCTTTGCGCTTCCTCATTCGGCAACTCTTCCCCGTCAAAATCTTCAGGTTCATCATATGTCACGTTCACACCAAAAGCATCCTCAACCATGTCACCGATCAAATTAAAGTTCTCCTCATACTCCATAACCGGTCGACTACTTGAAGCATGCGTGTTGCTAGTCTCTGGTACATTAACCGGTAGTTCTTCACCATTATACGTCCAAACCCAATAATTTTCAATGAATCCCCTTCTATGCAGATGACGTGTTACTTCCTCTGGGTCACTAATTATTGGTCTACATTCACACTTAAGACAGGGACATCTAACCCCTCCTTCGCTTCGACAACAATCCTGAGCAAACGCCCACTTAATAAACCCATCAACTCCTACTATAAAATTGGGTTTAAGTCCACTTCTTCCTGGATATGTTCTATCGTACATCCAACTGCGA